ATATATATTTGGGCAACGCCCAAATTAAAATTCAAGGATCATTTATTTATTTATTTTATGTTTTTATGGCAAATAGTGTTTTTTATGCAAAGAAAACACCAATTTATCGCTAAAGTCCGCCAAAACGAATAAATTAAAAATAGAAAAAGTTAAACTAATATTAAACGTAATTATTAAATATTAAAATAAAAACAGGGATTCATTTACACTGAACTACAACTACAGACCTGTCTCAATTCTTTCTGTCTTTTCAAAACTTTTAGAGCAAGTAATTTAAATTAACTATATAATTATCTAATTAACTAACAAAATCATTTTTTAACCATTAATTTGGTTTCCAAAAGAAACACTAAATTAAACAGGCAATTTTAGATCTGGAAAATAACATAAATGACTCTTTTGAAAGAAAAAATTTGTTCCTGAAATCTTTGACTAATAAAGCGTTCGACACTGTAAATCATTCAACCCTACTTAAACATGGAGAAATAGTGCGGCCGTGGCGTATGGTTAGAGCACTTGCTTTATAAGCAGAAGATCCAGGTTTGAAACGAGCCTTGGACATATTTTACTGTCACGGTAAGGAAAGAGGCATGAACTTCCGCAGTGCTCTGTGACAAGACCGTTAGGTCTTCTTGGGGCACCTGAATAACAATTAAAAAAAGAAAAAGAAATATTGAATAAAAAGTATAGCTGTAAACTGGTTCGAAAGTTTCTTGCTAAACAGACAACAATGTGTCATTGCTCAAAAAAAAAATTACTCAAAGTTACTTAATATAAAATCTAGTGTCCCTATTCTTGCGCCCCTCTTGTTTCTAATGTGCATTAATGACCTCCCAAAAGCCTCAAGCAAATTGGATGTCATAATGTCAAAATCTATTATAGAATTTTTTGTAACTTCAAGTAAATTGGATGTCATAATGTCAAAATCTTTTACAGAACTTTTTTTTCGGTCCTAATATTAAAATCTATTACAGAAACTACAAAGATTGAATTTGAAAAACAGAAGAATTGGTTTAAATCTAATAAATTAAACTAAACATTAAACACAGAAAAAATACATTCTTTTTGATTCCAACTAAAAAATATACCATTCACATTGCCTTCACTAAAAACCGTAAATAATCAAGATAACCCAAGCAACAAAGATTTTTGGTATACTTATTGATAAGAACATTTCATGGAAAGGACACATTAATATGTTAAATAACAAGATATCCAATAACATTGGTATACTATATAAAGCTAGTCCTTTGCTGTCCCAAAAAAACTTGTAGCTTATTCATTTTCTTTTATACAAAGCTATTATATATATGCTATTATTGCATGGGCGAGTATTCATAAATCCAAATTAGTCACACTTTATCAAAATCAAAAGCATACTGCAAGAATAGTTTATAATAAAGATAAATTCTCACATACTGAGCCACTTTTAGAACACTTAAAAACATTAAATGTCTATCAAACAAACATTTTTTAAAATTGCTTATGCTAAAATAAAACTTAAGGCTCTTAGTTGAGTACTATAGGTGTCTCAATAACTCAGTTGAATGGTACTGGCTATATGTGTCTCAATAATAACTCATTTGAATGGTACTGAGGCTGGCTGGTAGTAAGGTTTCTTGAAATCTGTGGTAGCTCTCAGAGAGGTTGATTCCATCAACAGCTGCAAAATATCAGAGTATTAACAGTGCAATGTTGCACATGGATGATGTTTGTGTTAATGCTTTTGGTGCGCATTGTTGAGGCCAAATAAGAAGTCCTATGTTACGAATTAGGGTTAATTAACAAGACTGAGACAACTGCATAGCTCATTGCTTAGCAGGCCATGCTCTATCTATGAATGAGTTCTCTTCAAACTTAATAATACCAAAAGTAACCTAAAATATTAAACATAAAAAAAACCTAACCACCTAAATATCTTAACATATCTTTTACAAATATGAGTTTTACTTCAAGAGTTATATGTTTGGCTTGGGGATATACAGATGCATCAATTCACCTATTTGTCGTGAAATCAGGTTTAAACCCTTTGACAATTCTTTTTGTGCTTCTGCTAAGTACCTCTTCACTTTATCACCTTTCTCTTTGTTCTTCGTTTCTCCAAAACTGCACTCTTTTAGATCTAATTTTTGACCAAATTGACTATGCCCTCTCTTTATCCTTGAACCAATATTGTTGTTAATGATGACTAATGGTTATCACACTGAATGGCTTGGCTTTAATACCACTGACCCTGTTGGCACTAAAGCCTATAACTTCTGCATTTCTCAATCTCTTACTCAGTTAGTTAACTTTGTGAGTCATTTCCCTGATAACCCAAATCATTTACTTTCGCCCTTAAATTTATGTCGTCTCTGATCCTAGCTTGTGTTTAGTATCTCCATTTTCTTACTTAGGTGTTTTGACCATGCATGGATCTCTATTAATCTTTTATCTTGTACTTCATTTTTGGAGTCACATATAATCACACTACTTACTACTACCCTAAAGCTGACTGGGATTCTATTCGCAATTTTCTTTGTGACGGTCCATGGGCTTTCTCAATATAATCAAGGATTCAGGCAGGAATCAAGGATTCAGGCAGGAATCAGAGCTTTGACTCCTTTAATTTCCTTTTGACAAAGTTTGAAATGTTAGCCTTCTCCATAAGCTTGCTTCATGTGGTTTATCTGGGAAAGTTTTTGAGATTATTAAATCAATTCTTTTTACCAATTTTTGAGATTATTTGTTTCTTTCTAACCATTACTTCATTAAAGTCGTCTGTTCGAAGAAAGTGAACTCCAAAGAACTGATGTTCGAGGGAAAAACCCGACGAATAAGAATTTTTAGAGCATCTAGGAATAGCCATAGTAAAAAGATGAGATTTAATTTTATGATAAGTAACACAAGAATGAATTTTAGTAGATGTCACAAGAGATACCTTCCAAGAGAAAGCTCTTTAGAGCAGTGCCCATTATAGTATTTATAGAAAAGAGAAAGAGAAGCAACATTACAACAATGTGATAATGGTTAGAGGTTGGCTGCAAGAGCAGGCCCAACTATGTTTAAAATGCATTTTTGCACTTTGTCTACAAGATAAAAGGCATCACTGTTTATAAATATAGGAAGATATAGAACCTTGAGAAACTGCTGAAATTACATGGTAAGAAAAAAAATGCTATTCACCGAGAACAATTTTTATACTACGATTTGTAAGGAAGGATTTAATAATCTTAAAGGTGTTTACCTGATACACCGTAAGAAGAAAGCTTATGGAGAAGACCAGCATGTCAAACTTTATCAAAAGCTTTAGAAATGTCAAGAGCGATAGCCTTTAGGGTGCATCAAACGCCCCATACTTTCAAAAATTGATCTGTCCCTATTCTTAAAACTTTCTATTGGTACTCACAAGACACTCTGTTAAATTTTTTCAAAATTGAATGAGATTTAGGGGGGCCACCTCGAATCTGAAACTTGCGACGAGACCCTAAACAGAAAAAAAAAAAGTTTTTCAAATGTATGTCATGTTGGGTTTCAAAAGAAAGGAAATTTTATAAAAAAATTTCAAAAACAATAAAAATTTTCATAATATTTACTATTAAAAGTTTTATTGCATAAAAATTATTTTTTAGCAAAAAATTAAAAAAAGCCAATTTTTTATGGTTTTTGGTCGAAATTTTTTTTCAAGGTATTTTTAACAAAAATTCATAACTATTTAAGTAATTTTTATAAAGTTTCGCTTCTTTTGAGACCCAACATGACATACATTTGAAAAACTTTTTTTTATTCTGTTTAGGGTCTCGTCGCAAGTTTCTGATTTGAGATGGCCCCCCTAAATCTCATTCAATTTTGAAAAAATTTAACAGAGTGTCTTGTGAGTACCAATAGAAAGTTTTAAGAATAGGGACAGATCAATTTTTGAAAGTATGGGGCGTTTGATTCACCCTAATAGCCTTATTCTCTCCACCTCTATCTTATGTACAATAACACCTATCAATTGATACTGTTAGTAAATTGGCTGTAGAACGACAAGATCCAAATCAATATTGATGATCAGAAAATATGTTATTAGACTCAAGATAAGAGAGATTAAGTGCTAATTAAATACTCAAAAACTTTGCTTATAATAGGAAGAAGACTAATAGGACTGTAGTTAGACAAGTCAGATCGCTCACCAGAATTTTTGAAAATAAGAATAACAGATGCAACTTTACAGCAGGATGGAAAACAAGACTCTGATAAACACTTTTTAAATAGTTTTAAAAGGATAGACAACAGCTCTGGAGAACATTTCTGCAAGACTATAACAATTAGCATCCGCTAAATTGCTTCTATTTATAGTGCTTGCCATTTTTATACTCATGACTCTATTCTCTACTTCTACAAATTTTGTATGCGTCCCTGTATGGAATACTGTTGTCATATTTGACAACATACTAGACAAGGTTCAAAAACGCATTGCTAACATAGCTGGATTCGGTTTATCTGCTAAGCTTGAGCCTCTTTTCCATTGTCGTAAATTTGCAGCTCTTTTTTTTTTCTACAAGCACTACCATGGTCACAGCTCAAAGGCTATTATCTCTAATTCCATCAACTAAAACTCATTCTCGCTTGATTTATCATTCAGCAAAATCACATTTGTTTACTGTATCTGTCCATGCATCCTCTTTATTTTTTCATTGCACTTTAACCCTTCCGAACTCTCTTCCATCTTCATGTTTTCCTAAATCATACAATCTAAAACTTTTAAAGTCTTCTAAAAACTGTTTCCTTGCTCTTTATCCTTTTTTTTTCTAGCAACTCCTAACTTAATAATGGTTGTTTGCAGCCATATTGGGAGTGAATAAAAATAAAAATAAAAAAATATATATGAACAAAAAATAAAAAATAAAATATTTAAAGAACGCTTAATTTCAAGATTAATTAAAACTTGTTTCTCACCTAAAGAGTTACTTTTATAACTAAATATTATATAAATGAAAACCCAAACAACAATTTTTTTAAATATTAAATATTAATACCTGTATCCACAACTGCATTTTCAGCATCAAAACCTGGAATAATATTTATTTGTTTAAATACACTACATTGAGTATTGCTTCCAGCTAGATTTTCTTCTAAATTTGTTGGAATACATACACTATACAAAACTTGAGGCTGTTGTTGTTGAGGTCGATTATGAACTTGTTTGTGGTGCTGGTCGACCAATTGAGCTTGTTGCATTTGATTCAACATCTTGGTTAATAAAACTAACCTGTATCTATTTCTTCTTCATTGTATGCAATTAGATAGACTTATAAGTCTATATTTTTTTATGTTACAATGACTATGAAAAAAAAATCTAATTTTAAATTTCTTTAATAAATGATAAAAAATATTAAAAATAGTTAGATCTGCTGGATTCTATAAAACATAACCGCTCTTGGCAACATTTAACACACAACAGTATTTTGACATTTTATTGTACATTTTATTGTACCATGAATAATGATGATGGTGCAATAATTTCATATTATCTAAATATTATATTGTTATACATAATTCAAAAGGAGCTTAAAATTAACAATACAAAAGCAAAGATTTTTATAAATCTTTACATAAATAACAAACTTTGCAAAAACTTATGATTATTTAAGTAATAAAATTTATTACATGGATTTCTTAAGGAATTTGTGACCATTTTGATGACCTTTATTGTTTATTTTTAAAAACAACAAAAAAAAAAAATGAGACACCTTGACTGTGAGAGAAAATAAATTATTATTTTTATATGAAATATGAAACTTATTATTTTTATATGAAACTTGGTAAGTTCATAAAAAATAGACATAAAAACTTAAATATGTTAGAAAAATGGGTGATCTAGTATTTCAGGCACTACCCTTTAGTGTCAGAAAAATCAAGTCATGTTTTACGCAAAACATTTATTGAAAACTATTTTGAGGTCGTGATCGCGTCACAAAACAATTTACCATCTTTGTAGGAGGAAAACATTGAACAAAACGCGTGATTAGCGAGTTTTGTTCATTGTTTTAATTTTAAAGCCAGGTTAAAGCATTAAACAAAACGCGCTTATAACGCATTTTGTTCAATATTCTCCCCCTACAAAGATGGTATCTTGTTTTGTGACGCGATCAGGACCTCAAGGATATTCTAACCCTAAACCCACCAAAAAAAAATTATTTTATTGAAATCCATACCCTAACCAAATCCTAAACCAAACCCTGAGCTTAACCCTAAATGTCAGGGTTTGGTTAGGGTACTTAAGAATATTTGTATTAAATAAGACTTTTATATGGTCTTTCTAAAGATAGATAGGCCATTCCAGAGGATTTTTTTTTGTCAATCTATTTATATATGATTAATATAGTTTTATAGAGCTTAAAAAAAATTAAAAAATGAGAGGTTTTTCAACTTTAGAAGATAATTAAATCAAAAGTTATTGCATTTTTTAAGCTGAAAAAGCTGATAATTTTTTGACAAAATGCCTTTTCCTTGAGTATTGAAAATTTGGCATGAAATAGCACCAAAATTAAATAAAATAACATCAAAATCAAGCGCAAAAATTAAAAAACAAACGATATGCAAAGAAATAAAAACATTATATACATAATTTCTAAACAAAATTTCTTTATTATCATTTCTTCAAGAAAATATAAATAAATACTTGTTTTAAATTGAAGAAAGGCTGTAATTGCCATTTCCACATGGACTCTTTCAAATTATAATAAATTAGCCTTAATGCTGAGAACTAAAAAATTATGTATGAATGTTAAGAGTCCACATTCAATTAGATTCCTCATCCCTTTTTTAATATATATGAAAAGTTTCATACAAATTAGATATGTTTTGGTGCTTAGGAAATCTTACTTTCAAAAACTACTTTTGAAAAAATGTGTCTAAGATTTTATCAAAAGTGGTCTCAGGATATTGATAATATTTAAGTGAAGCCATATCAAGCATAGTACTTTCTTTAAATGGCTGGAAAGAGGTTGAGTAACACTAATTGATACAAAAAACCTCAAGGTGATTGCTTAACTGTACAAAAAGATATAAGAAAGTAAAGTTTATGAAAATTCGGTGTTTTTGGTCAAACGTCAAATTTTTTTGTAGTGTCTTAGAATTGCTACTAAAGAGGGCGCCTGAAATACATGTACCCAGAAAAACAATCTAACCAAACTAATTCAACCTAATGAAAAGTAAATGTATCAACTAATATGTAAGTAATGTTGCAATAAAATGTATAAACTAAATGACATCATGTAGAAATACAATCTTTAATAGCTTTTGATGTTTATAGCCAAAATAATATTAATTTCCCAAATAATTTTAGATTTCCTGTAATATGAACATATTACATGGTTTTATAGATGCATAAAATTTTATAGCTGATTATGACGAAAGACAATGAGTGCAAGCATATTACGTTAGTGCAGCAATGTAGGAACAGTCGCATTAAAGACATAAAAACAACAACTAAGAATTTACAGTTATTATTTTGCTATATATTATATGAAGCTGTTATTATTGAACTAAAAATTTTAAATAAAAATCCAACATATGCATTTCCATAACTTTAACGTTGTACACTTATTTAGCAACCACGATGTATTCAAATCCAGCGCTCAAAACTAAGTTCGTTTTAATCAAAGTTAAATTTAAATAACTTTAACTTAACGCCTGATTTCCAAAATATTCTGATTTTCAAAATCTTTGAAGTTTTAAACTAACATAGTTTACAATAAATAATAACTGTACTCTATAAGCAATATATACAATATAAACGATTTAACTAAAACAACAAATTATTTTATAAACATATCACAATATAAATACATTTAACCATTCGGCAAGTAAAATAGCGATGGTCACGATGTATGCATGTAACATATGCATAAACATTCGCGGAATCCTAGTAGAATTGTGGGTAACAATTCCTTTAACCTATTTTTTTTTTTTTTTTTACCAATAATTTACACAAATTTACGATGATAAACTATATAAACAAGGTAACTGAAAGAAGGTCACAAAGATCTTGTTATCAGAACCTTAAATAGGTCGTTTTTTTTAAATGAACCAATAAACTTCTTATAACGACAAGATAAAATAAACTAATAAACTTCTTACAATGATGAAAGAAAATAAACTTTTAAAGTATATAGATTAATACAAACACAAATATAAACAGAGCCGTACCTAGGCAAGTGCAACAAGTGCAACGGCACTGGACCTCCAATATTTAAAGGACTTCAAATATTAAAAAACACTTTTTCTGATAAGAAACAAGCACTAGAAGCCAAATCTAAAGACTACTTCGTACTACTTAGTACCCGGTGGGAAATGAGCTAGCGACTAGCGAGCGAATAGCTAGCTTTGTAGCGATTTTCTAGCAATTTTTTTTTCCTATTTTATTATTTCCTAATGTCTTTAACATCTTTAAAAATTCGATTTTTAGTTTTGAGTCTATTATAATTATGAGGGTATTCAAACTTTAAACATTGCGATTTTGTAGCAATGTGTCGCTAGCTACATATCGTAGCTTTGTAACTAGCTACAAAATATCTACAAATCTATAGCTGGTTGATAGCTACATATCAAATTTTTTTAAACAACGACTTTATTACGATATGACGCTAGCTACAATACCCAGTGGGTCTTTAGCTTATTAATCTGGCTGTCCTCTTAACCAAATGTCTTTCTTTATCTTTACAAATATCGATAGCTTTTCGCTAACTTAAAAAAGCTAGCGATCCTCGAGGCCAAATCGCTGTCTTTATCGTTACGATTATAGATAGCTATTCGCTAGCCGATTTCCCACCGGGTATCTACTTTTCGATTAGAAACTTATTTTTTTTTAATTTTGAGGAATATTTCCTAATTTTTCACCAACATACAACAACAACAAAACACAAAATTAAAACTAAACATTAACTACATTCGAGAAAAACAATTTTTGATATAATTGACAAGTTTGCGAGCAAAAGGGCTAGCAATATTGATTTATAATTTCTTTGTATAACTTTTTTTTAAGAAAGAAAACCCAATAAAAATAAATTCAATGAAGTTGAAAAAAAAATTTTTAAGGTCTCCAAAAAGTTACAGCACGGCTCTAAACATAAACAAAGTAAATTGACTTAATAAAAACAGGAAAATAAATTAATGCTTAGTAATAATAGAGAGTTAACAATTTAAGATGTTACTATTAGTAGAACGTTGTCGATGGAAAGAATAAAACATTTAAGTTTAGCTTTAGTAATAAAGTAAATAGAAGGCAAATCAAAATTTTGCAAAATAAATTTATTATTTGAGATGTAATGCACGATATTCAAAATAAAACTGATTAAACTGAGTTTGACAAAAATTTAGTTCAGCAAACCAATATTACTTAGAGGGCAGAAGATGTAAGAAAGTAAATCACAACAAAAGAACTACTAGTCAATAAATACTAATTTTTCAATCTTACGAGGTATCAGATACACATCAAACTGGGCCGGGTTAAGTTCTTATTGGCCTCCTAGTATTCAAATTGTAAAGCGGTTTAAAACTTAAAAAATCTTTTTAATTGTTGCGCTATGGTTTTGTAATGTGTTTTCTTTTGTATTTAAACAAGCATCTTGCGTTATTTATTATTTTAAACAAGCTGAGATTAGTATAGGTTTTAAAACACTTTTCGTCTGCATTTTAAGTTTGCAAATGCAGATATGATATCTTCTAGGTAAATTGAATCCAATACCCGGTTTTCTGTTTAAACAATAGAAAAATCTGAAAGACGCTTCTGACCTATTAAATAATGAGTGAATAGAGCATATGTAACTTTAAAAATTGCAAAATATTCGAGTCTGCTATTAATTAAGATTGTTATTGTTCAAGAGATATTTAATAAAGAGTTCTTAATGTTATAAGTATTTTTTATGTTGTATATATATCTAAGGTTGAGCGATGAACACTTTTGATTCTTTTTAATGTTGAAAATGAACGTTCTCCAGAAGGGCTTTGAAAGGCTTTGAAGGGCTTCGTCAATGTTAAGGAAGGTTGATTCATAATTCTTATATTTTAATAGTTTTAAAAGATCCAGAGCTGAAGGTTTTTGTTTGCCGTTTTCATAATTTATCTCAGTTGGAATAAAAGCTCCAAAATGAAGACATTCGTTCAATAAGAGAGAGTTGATATCAGTAGGATATCGGTCAACAAGTTTTTGTGCACGGCAAGTGATCTCCAAGATATTTATGCTGCTGAGGTTTACAAGGAAATGGAAACAGAGAATTCAATCCTAAATAGGCTTTCTTTCTTTTATCTAGACCACTCATTAGTTTGTCAGTGATCTTATTAACGTCTATTTTATTT